CTGGTTCTCTAGGTCAGAAGCTGCTGAATACCACCTCTGGCTCTGGGGAAGCTGAGGAGGAATACTGACTTAGCTTGTAGATTTGGTGTAAGCACTATTGAGGAATATATGTGAAATAAATTGAACATACAGGGATATTTTGGGTGTTGATTAATGTTGTTAATATCAGGACACAATCCTGTAACAGAATACAGTAACTCAATAACAGGACGCACAAGTCTGCACATCAGTTTTTGCTGACAAATTCCTTTGACCGTATCTTTGCTATTAAAATTGGATTTCTTTGCTTCTGAGGTTGGTAATGTGGGTTCTTGCTTTCTGCTGCCATGATGAACTGTCTGTCCAGCCTAATCCACCAGGCTTCCCTTCCACTCCTTGTTCTAGCCAATTCACATTTTAGCTTTTCTGCTAAAGGAAACCAAAGTCCAAGCAAGCTATTATCCTCTCCTGAAGAAGCCATATGTCTTCATGGGCATCTGCCAGCTGGGATTTTCTCAGGTCAAGAAGGAGCTAAATTCAAGCACCTTGAATGGGGGCGGGGAAGAGAGGATGCTAGCTATTGTGTTGTTGTGATGACAGGGGATTGCATGTGAAATAGAGTACGGTGAAAGGCAGCATCTAACCCTAACCTTGGGATGGAGACTGGGGGAAATTAAGAATATGGGGAATATGTTGTGAATATGGTCACAAAAGAGTTGCTAGGGAGTTTGCCGTTGATTTTGCCCAGGGAACAAAATAGGTTACAAAGCACTTGCTATATTAAAATCCTACTCATCTGCCCCTTGTATTTCTCCCCCTAAACACACACACACACACACTTACACTTTTGCAGGACTTTCCCCTTCTACTTCTTCCTATTGTCCATTTTTTTGCCATATGAACAACTTTACAAACTATAGTTTGGGATACTTGCAGCTTTCATTTTAATTCTATGGAAGTTTAAGAGACTCATGTGGGGCCCAAGGACATTCTCAGAATAAAGATGATGTTGATGGTTTGCTATAGGGCAGCTTTGCATTATTACATTTTATGTTACCATGCAAAAAAGATTCCTACCTGCATATTATAGCCCATGGTTGTCCTGCTAGGAATTCCTACAATAAATAGAGCAAGTTTCCTATCATGTGAATGAAGCAATAATTCTCCCTTTCATTTATGTTACAGGCTTGCCATTATCAAAAACCAAGAACTAAGCAGGAAGAGAAGATGATGGTATTGGGTGAGTTGGGTTGGCTTCAGAAGTGATGGGGGAATGAGAGTTCATCCTAGACACAGAGTGTGAAGAACTAGGAGTGACAAAAGTTGCAACTGCATGCTTTTTTGGGCAGATAATTTTTTGGTGTTTTTTTTTTGCTATTTTATACTGCATGATGTAGATTGATGAAGAGATATCATTGATTTATTGCACTTGCAAGTAGCTGTTTCTGCCAAGAGGCACTCAGAGAAGCATATATCAATTAAAAACAAAAACAAATCAATAAAACAGTAAAACTTAGAAATCATAAAAACACCACAGCAATCATAACATTAACTTAATAAAACATTGTCTTCTCTGTGTTACTTACTTATTGTTAATCTCCAGGCCTGTATGTATTAGTTCAGATGAAGGGAAATTTAAAAAAAAAACACTTCACAGCATTCCAGCAGGATCAAGAACTTAACCAAATGTAGGGTCCCTGATTTGTGCCAAGTGTAGGCCCTGCTGCTACTTTTGCTCCCATACCAGAAAAGAAATTTGGATGTTGAAAACCATCCCTTCCCAGCCTTCCTCAAGGGAAGGGGGATTATTATTTTGGGGGGGAGGGTGTTAGTCTTAAGAGGGAGAACAGTCCCCCTTGGGATCTTGTCACCCCGTTTCGATTTTGCGGAATCTGTATGAACCCAACGGTCAGAATGTGGGGCGCGCTCTTACAAGAAGAGCCGGGGTTCAGACGGAGCACCGCTCCCCGGGATCGCCAGAGGGGGCGCTGTGAGGGAGAAGCCCGGGATGTTTCTGTGCCGGGATCAGAAGGGAGGAGCGGCAGCCCAGATTCATTGAGAGAACCTCGCCCCACCCGCGCTGGAGCGATATTCTGCCCTCTCTTTCCCCTGATCCTCCTCCTCCTCTTTGTACTTTATCCTGCAAGGCACCAAATTTGAAATTCCTTATGGAGGCTCCTAAACGTTAAGGCGGCAGCCCTGCGCGCAGCTTGCGGAACACAAACCACAGGTCTGAAGAGCAGCCCTGGGAAGCAGGTTTCCAGCAGGAGCAAAAGGGGAAAGAGAAGGACGCGTGGGGGGGATCCCTTGATAGTGGACCGGGGGGGGGGGGGGGGGGGGGACGACACACACGCCTGATTCCTCAAGGCGTTTGAAGGGCCCGGGCGTCCTTTCTGCTTGCCTGGTCTCGACGGTCTTCCGGATTTCTTTCCCACCTGCTTGGCTGGCCCATCCCGGGCTTCTGCCTCCTTCCGCCTCAGGTGTCTAAGCACCTTTCTGTGGCTTGAAGATGCTATCTGTTGATCGGGCACTTCTTCCAGCCTTCCCCCGCCCCCACCTGCCCCCGCTTCCCGCCTCCTGCAGCTGCCCATCTCTAGTTTCTGACCGGTCTCCAGAGCATCCCGGCCACGCTCGATGCACTCTTAAGATGTCCGGTTTATTTATTTATTTGTTCCCTACGTGATCTCAGTCAGGAAGCTCTTTTCCCGGTCCCGGTCCCTTTTTTTTTGCCTCTTCACGCCAGCCAGGTTCTTCCTCTGTATCCATTCTGGGTTTTTGCTTCATTCTCCTGTTGAACTCCTCCGCCTCTCCCTGTTTTTTGTTCTTCCCTCCATTCCGGGCCATTCATCCCATTCCTTTCCTGCCGCCTCCGTCTTCCCAGACTCTTGCGGCCACCACCACCACCACTCCCTCCCCAGGCTGCGTCTTCCCTTCCTTCCCAGCTCCTGCTGGCCCCCGGCCGGCCCGAGCTTTGCCTGGGGTGCGCGCCTCCGCCGCCTGCGATGCAGCCACTCACTGCTGCCAACCGCTCGCTCTGCCCCCCTCCCTGACGAATGCAGCTCACCCACACTCGCGCACACACACTCTCAGATACACAAACACACACGGCGCCCGGAGGGTGGGAGCGAGGCACAGTCAGACGGGCGAGCCGAAGGGAGCGATGAGGATCGGCACCGCCGAGGGCAACCGGAGCCTTGTGGCTTGCGTCCTGGGGGCGGCTCGGCACCTCCTAACCCGAATCCCATTACCACACACCGGGGTTTGCGGTGGTCAGGCTACTGCCTGCTTCTCGGACAGTCTCCGGGGTAAGAGCCTTGCGTTAGCCTCCCCACCCCACCCCAATTACTCCACATACCAGTTAGATTGGGCTTGTTCATGCCTTCAGCGTCTTAGATTTGAATGCTTTACTCCTCCGAGTTGCCACCATTCCATCAGAGATCACCGCCTTCTCTAAATTTGCCCTTCCTTCCTTCCTTCCTTCCATCCTTCCTTCCTTCCTTCCTTCCCACAAGGATCTTTTTTTTTTCCATTTTCAAACTTGCCTTGTTCTTCCTTTTCCTCCTGCCCAAATTCTGGTCATGTTCTTTTCTTGATTCCCATCCCCCTCCCAGTTTTCCCCTGCACCTTAATTTGTTGGATTTTTTTTAAAAAAAATTCAAATTGTTTATAAAGATGTGGGCATGTCAGTAGTTTGAGTCTAGCTTCCAGTTAGAGGTGGGAACTCTTGGCACAACTAAATGGGAAAGTTTGTTTGGATCCTGCGGGTGTTTCCTGAGAAATGCTCTTTTCTCTCCCCAATCTCTCTTCTCTGGGGCTGTTGTTAGTTTGCCCTGAGAAACAGCAGTTTTCACACCCCTAGTAGGTACGGAGAAATGACAAGTGTTCCCTTGCCTCTGCCAAACTCTTTGACAAAGCTTCCTCATGCCACATCTTGGACACAGCATTATGAAGAGACATCATACTTTTCTGTCAGTGGCCTTTTGACTCTTACAATATGAAATAAGTCCTGTTGGCTTCTCTAATCATTTGAGCTTTAGATTCCTAGATGTTGTTCTAGCTTAGGAGAAGGATTTACATAGTTTTCTAAGAGCTGATTTCCAGATGTCTTCCTCGGGGATGGTGTGCAATTGTGGATTTCATTCCTTTGACCACTTTCTAGGTTTCTCTTCCAAAAACGCAGTCAAAAGATTGGATCCCAAACTGGTGCCTCTTAGGATTAGCAGTTAATTAAACCATATTTCTCATGTAGCATTTTGGGATTCTCCTTTTCAGAAGCAAGACTTAATAACTTAAGAACTGCTGCATTCACTCCAAATGCCATAATCTAATGGCATGCAGTTATTTCTTTCTCATAGTTTGTTGTTTTTCTATTTCTCTCTCTGTCTCCCCCCAACCTCTTTCTACAGCAATGTGCGTCCTCCCTAAAGGTGAAGATATCAACTGAGCCCCTTTCTCCTACCTTCCCATCCCATGTTGGTATCCTGCCATCCATTTTCTCTGCCAACAGGAAGAAAGGATCAAAAGACAAAGAACAGCAGAATGATATAATTCACTGCAGGTTTCCCAAGAGGAGTGTCCATTATGTTCAGTCTGGACAGGACCAAATGGTCAAATTAATCTGTCACCAGGCACAAAATATGGAGAAGACCCCTGTCAGCTGCATTATCTCTTTCTGATTCCACAATTATTGATAGTACAGCATCTTGATCTGAATACAGAGCTGGAATGCTGTTTGGCGGCAAGTTCTCGAATGCATCCAGATTTGTTAACAACCACTGAAAACAGCTTGGATATTTTTGCACAGGAGAAAAACGTCACTTTTTGGGATAGTTTGTTGTGCTTGGATATTTTAGACAGTACTAATTCAGATGCTATGAGACCTTCTAAGTCACTGACTTATGGTTGCAACTGACCAAAGTAACCAGCTGAAGAATTATTTCAGGCACCTTTCCACTAGATAGCCCCTATTTACCAAGAGTCTTAGCGCATAAAGGATTTGATGGTGATACAGCTTATACAGTATGGCTGCTGGAGTGGCAACCTGGCTGCCCTTTGCTCGGGCAGCAGCTGTGGGCTGGCTCCCACTGGCCAAGAAGCCTATGCCCAAACCTCCTCTCGATAATAAACGCCGCCATGATGAAATCTTAGTGGTCAACGTTAGTGGAAAACGCTTCCAAACGTGGAAGAATACCCTTGACCGTTATCCAGATACCTTGTTAGGCAGTTCCGAGAAGGAATTCTTTTTTGACGAAGACAGCAAGGAATATTTCTTTGATCGCGACCCAGAGATGTTTCGGCACATTCTCAACTTCTATCGTACCGGCAGGCTCCATTACCCCCGCCAGGAGTGCATACAGGCCTTTGACGAAGAGCTGTCCTTTTATGGAATCATCCCAGAGCTGATTGGTGACTGCTGCTTGGAAGAATACCGAGATCGCAAGAAGGAGAACGCAGAGCGCCTGGCTGAGGATGAAGAAGCCGAGATTGCCACGGACACTGCCTTGCCGCCAGATAGCACATTCCGCCAACAGCTCTGGAGAGCATTCGAGAACCCCCACACCAGCACTATGGCTTTGGTCTTCTACTATGTGACTGGTTTCTTCATTGCCGTCTCGGTCATTGCCAATGTGGTGGAGACAATCCCATGCCGGCCAGCTCCTGGGCAGAAGAGAAGCATGTCGTGTGGGGATCGTTTCCCCAAAGCTTTCTTCTGCATGGACACAGCCTGTGTCCTCATCTTCACTTTTGAGTATTTCATGCGGCTTTTTGCTGCCCCAAGTCGATTTAAGTTCATGAAGAGTGTGATGAGTATCATTGACGTTGTGGCCATCATGCCTTATTATATTGGGCTGGTGATGCCAGAAAATGAAAACGTCTCTGGGGCCTTTGTGACCCTGAGAGTCTTCCGTGTCTTCCGCATCTTCAAATTCTCACGCCACTCACAGGGCCTAAGGATCCTGGGCTATACTCTTAAGAGCTGTGCCTCTGAGTTGGGCTTCCTTCTCTTCTCCCTCACTATGGCTATCATCATCTTTGCTACAGTTATGTTCTATGCCGAGAAGAGCACAACGGAGACCAACTTCACCAGCATCCCTGCTGCCTTCTGGTACACTATCGTCACCATGACCACACTTGGGTGAGTTCCCCACTTTCAGACATGGCCTTAAGGCCTCCACTCTACACTATTTATCTCATTCTTTTCCCTGCTCAAATAGGAAAAAAACCTCTCTAATTACACTTCTTTTGAAAGTTGATTATCAAGTTGATGTCTAATGGCATCCTGACTTCCTTGTTAATTAATGTGCCCCAAGTCCAAGCTGTCAGATAATGAGCTGTGAGAATTAAGAGCTTGTCAGTTTCCAGAATAGAAGTAAAAGCCAAACCATTAGGAGATGGGTAAGTATTGAGTCCATACAGGTCACTATATTGGTTTGGAAGTTATGTCATCTACAATGGGGTCCAAATAGCCTCTTCCCCAGACGCTTTTATAAAGTGGTGGAAAAAAGATGGCTCTGCCAAATGAAAGAGAAAACATGTGCTCTCACCTTTAGAGGATTCTGAGATCAATGTGGCATTATCTTCAAGGAGTTACTGTCAAAAAAGTATCTTTATCATTAGGGGAAGGTGAGAAGGCACCCATATGAGAACCAAGAGAAATGATGGAACCTATTGAGGTCAAATAAATGGGAGTTGCAAACTAAAAGGGCAATGGGTGAAGGAAGGAAGGAGGGAGGGAGGGAGGGAAGGAAGGGTGGCTTTAGGAAAGATGTATAAATATGTGGATCTATTCCCTCAAAACTAGAAGCATCATTTTTGCATCTGTTATGGATGAAAACTTTATCCTATTCTTTCAAATATAACATTTCCTCCATTTCACTATTCTGTACACAATGTGCTGACTTGTAATCATAGCTCCGGCTGCTGTACAGAAGCACTAATCTTCCCTTTTAAACTACAACATTGGGGGATTTGTATGCATTCTAGAACTGTATTCTGGAAAATCAAAAAGTGATTTTGGGTGCTCTTGTGCATGCATACTTGCCGGTTGGATTTTTAAATGTTGAAACTGGTGGTCTGGTACTTCAGAATGTCAGCAGCCTTCAGAGATTTATTTTATTCAGTCAACTGATTGATTCCCTTTTTCCTCTGAATTCCACTGCATATCATGTGTTACATTAGAACAGGAATAGAAATCTAGTGCCTCAAGATCTGTATAAAATTTTAGTTCCAGTTCATTTCTGGGGCTTTCCAGGATTCACATTCCATGATGGGGTTAGTACCGTATGATCATTTTTAGAATTAAGAGGTTAAATCAAATTATTACTAAGTTATTAAAATCATGTTGTTATTGATGTACCTTACATAATACGTAGCACTTTATAATTTACCATTAGCAAAAAAACAAGTTCCTTCTCTCAAAGGTTCATTTACAATATAAAGAGAAATTGAGACATTGTCAGAAAAAGAAGGTTCTGTGAGAAAAAGCAAGATGTGGGTGGCTATTTTGAAAGATTCAGGGTGGTATAGATCAAGGGCTTTTGGAAGTCTGCAGGAAGCCCTGAGGCTATGCGATGCTACTAGGTTTATTATTAACAAAGGGCTTTCCTATATTCCAATGCATCGTTATTTCTGGCATCTATTTTTGTACCTATTTTGTTTCATCGTTCCTGGGAGCATTCAGGCTGCCACAAGATTTCAGCGTAGAATCAAAGTTGGGGAGTTTTTATAATCCATCGGCTTCCATCTGAGAGAACTAATGAACGTGTGTTGAGACTGTGTGAAACCTATTTTTATTTTTAATTCTTTAATTCTCCCTGTAAGATTCTCCAAGGGTAGTAATGTCTGGAATTACCCCCAATTTACACTAACAACAATCTCTGGAGTTGGTCCAGGGTAACAGAAAGGGCAGTTAGAAAGGAGTGAGTTCTGGAGAGCCAAAGGCAAATGTCAAGGAGATTTGAAGAATCTGGTCAGATATACTGGGAGTACTTTCAGAAGTTGTCCAGAACAATCCTTTGGCCAACTATTAATTTCCAAGAAGAGGGCTCTCAGGCTTCAAGCCTCCCTGGGAGCCATTCTCAGTCTGCCTGACCAAATTTCCTAAATCCGCTTGACATTCGCTTATGAATCTCTACCAGCAAAGGATAAGAGAAAGAGATTTTGACTACAGAGAGAGAAAATATAAGTGCTGCTATATCAGATACTAGGACTCTGGTTGAAAATAAAGAATCGGGGGAAAGGAAAAAGGCTAGATAAGAAGTTAGTGTCATTTACTGGGAATTTTTTGGCTTAATTCTGATGAAGGGAGGGGGGAGGGAGGGAGGGAGGGAGGAAGGAAGGAAGGAAGGAAAGAAATAATCCACTTCTCAGAGATCAGTAAATTATTTATTATCTTACCAACTGGAATTAGTGTTTCTGCTTCAAACTGAAAATCTGGCTGATGGATTTGTTAAGGCAATCACCAACGATCACTTCCATTTTTCCATATTCTGACTGTGCGGCTGATAGTTCAGTGCAATGATGGGTTGGCCAGAAACACAGCAGGGGTTTAGGATAGAAGAAATTATTATGGTAGAGGGAAGCTCTGATACGTGCTCGTTTTTGATTCAGAATGTATCCATATGGTGATTTCCTGACGGTTTTGAATCATGAAAGGGTAGATTGTGCCTCCAGACAAGGAAAAATGGAGCCTTGATTCGCTCTATGTTGGAAGTGGGCCAGGTTGGGACTGAAGGCCGATCCTTCAGGATCAGGACTGTTGGGAGTCTGGCAAAGAGGAGAAGGAAGAAAGGAGCATGAACAGGTGGCGACTAGTTTGAATGAAAAGAATCTTCGTTCTCTGCTGTGTCTAAACTTAATGAGGATCCACTGGTTACTATAACATTTCCCCAGTGTCAGCAGCTGAGCTAGCAAGAACTCTTGGTTCCCCTCCTTCCCAGTCTCTACTAGGCCTCTGTGGAGAATTACCCTTCCCAATAAATCCCAGCCATAACTCCCAACTCTTTTCCTATTCTCAACTAAGCCACAAAGCCCTGCTTCTCATTCCACTCTCCTCTCCCAAAATCTGATGGTTCCCATTACTGGGAAGTTTAATTATCTGCCCTGTTCCCATCCTGCTCAATTAAGTTTTAATAACTTGCTTGCCCTTGTGCCAGAGAGACACCCGCTGTCAGCAAACATACCCACTCCCAGTTCCAAGCCCTGAAGACGTCTGTGAAAGCCTCTGTTTCCACATAAAGGGGCACCGAGGCATCTGAGCTGCTTTCCCCCTCAGGAATTGGGCCAGGAAGCGAGGTCTCCTGGTACCCCCATCTCCACCCAGAATAAAGTCTCTGTCTTCGTGGCATTCTCCCTTGCCTGTTCTATGGCAGCCCTTTCTTGTTCCGCTGGGTGCCCATGGGCCAGCCTTTGATACTTTAAGCGACATAATATTAAACCAGACTCACCATTAATCACCACAGTAATCCCTGTGGCTCTGCAGCTCTTTTAGCTTGGCAGAGGCACAGCTTTTTCCTTCCCCCATGAGATCCCAGTGGGACTCCTGCTTTCCTGGGTGGGAAAAGCTCTTTGCAGAGAGCCCCGATGATGGACGGTCTTAGTAGTTTGGATAGAATGTATTTTTCTAGGAGTCATATAAATAACAAATCAAGAATTCCTGCTGTTGCCAAATATTACCTTGGGTATGCTTTCTAGAAGGAATGTACAATTTTATTTATTATTAAATTTATGAGCTGCTCATCTAGATGTGGGCCTACTCTGGGAGGCTCTGGTGTGGACTAGTGTGTAATATTAAGTCACAGCAGCCATTCCTCAGCAGTCTTTGGCCTTGGACTTTTGTCACACAGGCAGGAAAATCGTGGAACTGAGCTTCTGAGATAGCTGGAGAAATCCATTTGTGGGCAAAAATTAACAAGGTCCTACCTCAGGGGTCTTCAAACTTGACAGCTTTAAGACTTGTGGACTTCAACGCCCAGAATTCCTCTTCCAGTCATGTTAGCTCAGAAATTCTGGGAGTTGAAGTCCACAAGTCTTAAACTTGCCAAGTTTGAAGGCCCTTGCCCTACCTTGTCATTTCTATTCTCCACCTGTAAAATGGGAATAGAGTGAATTACCTTTCAGGATTGATGTTAATGCTTAATGGATCCAGTGAATCATATCAGGCAATCAAGCTTACTGCAACAGTTGGCCACTTAATTTAGATCCATCTGTGAGACTGACCTCTCTAAATTGCCTTGCTAGTTCAGATTGCTGCTGTTACTACCTCATATAGACTTTTTTTGCACAGTTTTTGAAAATACAGGAGACCCCCTCAGACTCTAAAAGGGCAGTTCAGGGACTTCCCCAACAAGGTCATGCATGCATGGAATGATGGGAATGGTAGTCTTCACACATTTGGAGGTAGGTTGGCTTGGGAAGGCTGGCTGGATCACCGTTTCCAGAATATTCTTGCTGTTGCTTGCTGCCATACTTGTCCCCAGGGCCTGGGTGAAGCTTTTCTCCAGCTCTCCATTCTTCAGCCTGACCTCTGGACAACGTCCTCAGTTATTCAGCATTCTTTCTGTGCCATCCTGCCAGGGGCACCTAGCTTGTCTTGCCCTGAGGAAGAATAAGTTGTACATACTTCCCTGGCTGCTGCATTCTTCCTCCTCTTTCCTGTCTCTTCTCCTTTCTGTTCCCAGTACAGTTTGTCTCTTTTCCGTCAATGTTCTTTTGCTCATGGATTTCTGGATTCTTAGCAGCAATCTCCTGACAGCTTTCCTTCCCCTCAGTTTTCTAGCCCTTGGTCTTCCCGCATACTCAGCTGACAGGACACCATCCTTCATGCAGAAAAGTCCAAATTAAAAATAGCTCTGGGGTGCTGCAGCTTCTTGTATAAGTGGGTGCCTTGCCACAGAATGGGTGGCATCAACATGTACTCAGAGAAAGGCTCAAGGTACCTTGTTGCTCATATAATAAGGCTGGGTCTTATTTTTTTTTAAGCCCCGAAAAAATGGCTAGGCCATCTTTTCGGGGGTGACTTAATGCCCCCACCTTGCATCCTCGGGCAGGCGGGCGGCGACGGCTTGGATCTGGACCTTGGTGTTGGTGGGGCAATTCGTATCAGGAGACCTTCCCCCACCGTTGCTTTCCCTTCTC